GTGGGGGCCCCTGTGGGGCAGGGGAGGGTTGGGGGTCCTGGGGCCACTTTGGACCAGGGGTGGGTAGACCCCTGGTTACTGTGGGGCAGGGAAGGGTTGGGGTGGTGGGGCTGGCTCGGCTGTGGGGCAGGTTTGGGAGACCTCCCCAGGCGCCCAGCCCCAGGCAGGAGCTCAGCGGCCTCCCTTGCCCTCCCCTCCCGGCAGGGCTGAGTTCAAGGCCGAGGTGCTGCAGAAGAAGCGTGAGGCTCTGCTGTCCCAGGAGGACTCGGTGAAGCTGACGGAGGAGCACCGGCGCCTGATGGCCTGGAATGAGGCGGAGAACGCCCGGCAGCGCGCACGCAGGTCAGCCCGGCCCCGCGCAAAGCCTCTGTGGCTCTGACTTTTGCTTGTGCAGAGCTAAATTCAACACCTGGGGCGGTCAGAGTCAGGCCTAATTTTTTACTAAGATGCTTGACGTAGAATTTGACCTTTTTAAAATAAATCTGCAGTACAGTAGCAGTCACGTTCCCAGTGCCTCTCGCTGCTGAGGGGTCAGTTACTGAGCTCTGGACAATCTCCTGTGCTCCTGGGGAGGTGGGTGTCATTGGGAGGATAAGTTTCTCTGAGTTCCCTTCCACGCCGCTCCCCAGGAGCTGTCCTCTGGTCAGGCACGGGAAGCGTGCTGATCCTTCCAAGAAAATTGGCGTCTGCTGAATCTCGAAAGCAGGAGGAGGTTAAAGGGAAGAGCCCGCCTCTCCCATCCCCACTGGCTGTCCCGTGGCCTGTTCCAAAGCGCTCCAGCTTCCCCATCCAGGTCCGGCCGGCAGAATCACCTTCTCCGACTTGGAGCTCCCAAACGGAGCCAGACCCTGCTAGGGCTCGGGTCCACGCCTCGCGTGTCAGTGCTGGCCTGTCTGAAAGCTCTTGCGTTAAGTTTTTGCGTGAATTTTTCTCTCGCAGGAGCGGGGGAATTCTCTTCATCCCCACTCTGGGGACAGCACGGGCTCTTTCTCCCTGGCCTGGCTGCTCTGCTCCTTCCCATTTGTTCTGGCTGTGCTCAAAGTGGGTGGCTTTGCTTCCCGAGGGATGAGTGTATCCCATTGAAGTGCCACCCTGCAGGGCGTGAGCATTCGTCAAAGCCTTGGTGGGTTTATTGTTTGGGGTTTTTTTCCTTTCCATATGGCAGAGAGGAAAGACTTAGGAAAGAAGAGGAAGAACGGAAGAGGCACAAGCTACAGGCTGCGGAGAACAAGGCCAGGATAATGGAGGCTTTCCTGAAGGAGAAGGAGAAGGAAGTTCTCCAGCTGCAGGTAAGAGCAGCTGGTGCCCGCTGGGGAGAGCGCTGCCAACCGTCCCCGTGAGGGATTTGATGGCAGCCCGTGGGAGCGATGTGGAAGCCGTAGGCTTATTTTCCAGAGATTTTTATGTTGGTAGCTGGGAACACAAGAGTTGGCACCTTCCAGGGGTGTTGACAGCGTGTGGATGGGATAGAGGTTTGAGCGAGAGCTCTGAAAGCAGAGGGTGGAATAATCCTGAGCAAGAAAACAAAGCTTTCCTCATGCCGACCTCGGCTCCTGGTGATCTCCTGCTGAGATCCTGGCCATGCTGGTGGCATCTTGGGGTCTCTCGGAGATCCGTGAGCTCCGTGGGCACCAGCAGCTCACGCGCTGCCCCCAGTGACACGTCTGCTGACACACGTTAAGAGCCGGTACTTGTCCCTTCTTCAGGAGGAAGCCAAAACCTTCATCACCCTTGAGAACCTGGAGGCGCGGATTGAGGAGTGCCTGGACAACCCTCGCAACTACAACTTCGCCATCGACAAGGACGGGCGGATCGTCAAACGGACGGTGTTGTCTTAGCAGCCCCGGCCTGGGGCGGGGAGGGTGCTGGCCTGGTTTCTGTCCAGAAGCGCTGTTTACAAGCCGGTGTCTTCCTTTTAATGTATAAATGAACCACAGAATTGTTAGAGAAAGCCTGCAGGTCTGGCTGTGGCTCTTCTGAAGGGTGAATGCCTGCGGGAAGGAGGGCAAGGGGGAAATTTGGGCTTGCATTGAGCAAGCAGAGGCGCCAGCCCTGCGAGGGAGTGGAGGAGCTGTGGTGTTCCTGTGCCTGGCGCTCTGACTCCCCGCCATTCCACCTCCCCCCTGTTTGGGCAAGCTCCCTGGCGTAGCCGTGGCACTGTTTGCCTGTCGACCCCGTGAGATGTTGGTGAAAAAGAAACCTGAGGGCCGAGTGGCTCTGTAGGAAATGCCGACCCTTGGCTTTTTCTTGGGGTTTCTCTGTTTTCTGCTGTGGTGGAAGGATTCTGCTCGTCTTTTAAATGCGCCTCTGCGCATCTGTTGGCGTGGCTGAATGAGAAAATTGTGCAGAGGGCGTCTAAATGATACTGGCTCTTACGTGTCTCCTTTTCTCTGCCCACCCCCCCAACCCCTTCAGCCTTATTTTAGTCATGCAGCTTAAAGTTGTAGCTGATACCACAGTTGCTCTGGCTCCTCTTTGATGGTTCTGGCTTAGACTGAGCTGCATGCTCAGCTTTGCCCCAAAAACGCTGGGTTTGGGCTGCCTGACACCAGCCTGGACTTCACTGTGGTTTGGCCGGAGCCCAGGTGGACTGACTGCAGGTCCCTCTGCCCTCCCTCACTCACCTAAAACACTAAGAATCGACCTCAAATCCTTGCTTTTTATCTACTCTTTCCTAAAAACGCCTTTTTTCCTCCCTCCCGAGTCTGCAACCTAAACCAGGCAAGCGCAGGAAAAACACAGACTTTTTTTTTTCTTCTTCTTTTTTCTGTACAAGTTTTATTTCTAATTAAGATCATCACTTCAATCTGAGTCACAGACCTCGGCTCGTCTGTTCTCGGCCTGATGCGGGGCCGGTACGGCTCGGCAGATAAGGGATCCCGCAGGTTCTTCTCTCCCGGGCGCTCTATGCAAACAGCATTTCTTGGTCGCAGGATGAGTCAACGGTGCAGCCCTCTGCGCGGGGAGAGAACGGGGAGAGCGCCCCGTGAGGCGAGGGGGCACGAACCGCCCTCAGGGACCCCCCCCAGTGCTGGTTTTTAGTGACATCGAGCGAGTTTGTGTGCCCCCCCTCCCCGGATTTGTAGCAGGATTGCTGGTAGCGCCTAGCTTGGGGAAGAGGCTGGGATTTTTTTGGAAAACCATAATGAAAGCAGGAGGGGGCACGAGCTGCCCGGCACCGCAGGACTCCTGCTGCTTGCTCAGCCCCCCCAAATTCGGTTGCTGTCTGCTTTCCCCCTTCCCCAGCCCCCTCCCACCCTGCTCCGTTACCGCCTTCACTGCAATGGGGATCAAGTCAGCCCCGAGTGGGGTGGCCCTGGCTGTTGGGGGGTTGGATGGACAGATGGACAGACAAAGATGATCCCGTGGGTACTGTCCCCTCTCCCGCTTTCCTATCCCAGAAGGGCCGCTTCGGAGGTGCCGATGTAACAACCCAGCTCTTCTCCGCAGCAGATGTTGGGACCGAAGCAGTGGCCCTTGTTCCTGGGACCGCAGGGCAGGCACTGCTCGGGGAAGCGGGGGAGAAAGGTTATTAGGGAAGTTATTAAAGGGAGTTATTTGGGAAAGCACCTGGGAGCCCTTCCCCTCGTCCTTTCCTCCATCCTGCCAGCATCTTCCCCGCAGGAGCCCCGGCGAGGCCTGGGAGAAGGGAAGGAGGGGGTTAGGAGGTCTCCCAGCCCAGCCAGGACTCACCTTCCTGATGTCCATGTCCAGGACGGCGCGTTTGCCCCCGATGGGGCAGTTCTGGATGTAGCAAGCGGAGGAGAGAGCCAGCAGCCCCAGGAGGCAGACGGCGAGCGCCTTGCAGGACATGGCTGTGGGGTCGGGGAAGCTTTTCGGCTTCTCAGCCCGGCCAGCGGCCGTGTATATATAGCGCCGGCTCCTACTTAGGCATGCCGGCATCGGCGTCACCCCTTTCCCTTAAAATCCTCAAGGCATTGCTTTCCACACCGAAGGGCTCCGCTAATAGCCAGAGGTCGAGGACGTGAGGTCAAGGCCAAGGTGTTGGTTTCCTCCTTGGTGATGACTCCAGCCATGGTGGGGAGGAGGAATGTGCGGAGGCTGCGGATGCTGTTTGGGGCTCGGGTCCCTTCTCAGCCAAGCCCTGAGGGATCCCAAGCTGCAGCATCGCTCCGTGTCCCCTTCAGCACCCCTCTGGCATGGGTAGGGATGAAGGCTGGCATCACTGTGGCCTGGTGGGATGGGGGGCTGAGAGGGGCTTCCCTGGGCTTCAAATCCCTTCTGGGGGGTTGGGGGGGAACCAAGCCTGTACCCTTCTCCTGGAGCATTTGGGGCAATGTTGGTCCTTCCCACCCTTCTCCGCCTGGCCTCTGGGGGAAGCTCAACGCTGGCCTTGTCCCGCTCTGGGATGGTGGTGACACCGAGCCCATCCCTGCCCGCTTTAATCCAGCGGCACCAAGCCAGCCTGCCCCCGGAGGACGGCACCCGGGCAGGGGCCGAAGGCTGGTGCAGTCACCAGGACCCTTCCTGCTCACCCCAACCCCTTGCCTTCGTTACTGCAATTAAGCGCTTCCCAGCCTGAATAAATGGCTCTGCTGCTGCTAAATCGTGCATCTGTTGGGAGCATTACCCAGCGCCGGCTTAATTGGGAATTAGGCAGCCTGGAGCTCGAGAGCCGTGACCTCTTCCCGTCCCCTCCAGCTTGCTTCGAAATCTGCCACTTAGCGTGGCCACGGCGGCCAGCGGGGAGGGCGGCCGGGTCCTCGTCACCCACCCGGGGTCAGGCACAGCCAGTGAGTCCTGGTCCCTGGGGATGAGCCAGGCGCTGGGGTCCATGTTAATGGGTTGGACATAGGGCTCAGCATCGGCTGTGCGATGTCCCAGCGGCTCAGCCCCGGCTGCTGTCCCCCTGCGGCGTGGGGAGGGGGGGAGTCCCCATCAAGAGCCCCTGTGGCTGGTCTGGGGGTGCCCGGGCTGCGTCTTGGGGAGATGTGGAAAAAAAGGAACACACACACACCCCAGTTATCAGCTCCTGGTGCTTTTGGGGACCTTGGCACCCCGATGCCGAGGCTCCCATCGGCCTGGAGCATCATCCCAGCTCAGCCAGGGCTGCCCCAATTCGTCATCCCACAGGCATCCAGCTCAGGGTCACCCATCCCCATTGGCACTGCTGCTTGCCCAATGATTTTGGGGTGATTTTTGGGTCCCCTACCTCTCCGGGGCTGGGGTAAGATGCTTGTTGTGGGGACAGCATGCTGGGTTAATCCTGCACCTCCGTCGAGGCGTGGGGAGCTGACGTGGGCAGGATGGGTCCCACTGGCGTGGAGGAGCTCCACCTCCCTGGAGGTGCCACCTCCCTCGGGGACATTATAAAGGATGAGGTGTCCCCCGCCCCACGGCCAGATCCCGGCCCGGAGAGCGCCCAGAGTGGGGACCCCACCAGGGTAAGAGACCTGGGGAGGGCAGAGGGAGAAGGGTTGGGGTAACAGTACCCCAAATTTGGGGGGGTGATGGTGGGATAACTGGGGGGCTGATCTGGCCTGTTGGTGTCTGGAGGGGACCAATTCGGTGAGCGATGGGAGGGAAAGATGAGACCAGCCCCAGGCGGGGGTTGTATGAAGCTGGGAACCCAAACCTTTCTGCTCTTGGGGGGGTTTTTTTTGGGTGGTTTTTCCTTACTTTTTATCATTTTTAGCAGATGTGGATGAAGCTGCCTGTTGTGCCGGTTCCTGAAGTCAACGGGGCCCCGAATCTGCCCCAAAGAGGGGTCTTGGCCAAGAGGTAACGCGATGGTGGCACCTCCCAGGGGGTGATGCTGTCCCCAGCCTCCTGGGGCTGGGGGTTCCGGAAGCTCAGCACCCATGGGTGCTGCTGGAGCTCCCAGGATGGGACTCGATGGGACCCCAAAGGCCAGCTCTGCCTGGGCTCCTTTCCCTTAGCACTGCAAGGGTGGGGCCAAATCCTGCACCCAGCTCCACAAAACCACTGTGGGTGGGAGCCAAACCGCATGGGGCTGGATAGGGATTTGGGGTGGTGATGGTTGTGATGACCCAACAACCTCCAAGCCCCCCACCCGCCATCCCTGAGCCCCGGAGGGGTCCCCTGGAACCCCCCATGACCCATCCCCAGCACCCCAGACAAAGCCACCACAGTGCACAAAGACTTTTATTGGGTCTCGTATTTACAAGGCTGGGGTGGGGGGCTCGGTGTCGGTGGGGGGGACGCCCAGCACCCTGGCTCAGAGGAGGGGATGCTTGCCCTGCTGCTGCCGGTTCGCCAAGTGCATCAGCTTGAGGAGCAGATCTCCAGCCGAGCCATCCAGCACCGTCAGGTTCTTCTCTGCCGCCTCCTGAGCCCCATCGCTGCCCTCGTCCAGGCAACCGGCGTCCATCGCACAGGTTTCTTCCACAGAAAGCAAAACAAAAAAAAAACCCAAAAATGTCGTGATGGGATGGGTTATTTAGGTTGGGGAGTGGTTTATTTTCAGGTGGGGAGGAGGTTGGGGGCAGCCGGGGGTGCCCGCGCAGCTCGCGCTCCAGCTTTGTCCCTCCCGTTAACCAGGGAGAGGTTGCATGTGGAAATATCTCATGGGGCAGCTCAGGAGCCCAACCCTTGTCATGGAATCAGGGAATGTTTTGGGTGGGAAGGGACCTTTAGAGGTCACCCAGCTCAACCCCCCTGCAGGAGCAGGGACATCTCCAACCAGATCAGGTTGCTCAGAGCCCCGTCCAACCTGGCCTGGAATGTTCCCAGGGATGGGGCATCTGCCACCA